CTATCTTCCATAATTTGTATACTGTGTTATTTGTCCTCTCTTTAGGGCAGCTACACAAACAGATGTTCTTAGCGTATCTCATCTGGAGCACAGTTAACCCTCAGTAAATATGATATATAAATATTTAATATCATATATAAAAATATTTAGAAACATAATGATTTTCTTAGTCTGTAACTTGTTGATGTATGGTTTGCTCCTACTTTTTTTTTTGCTTGATGCTACTTCAGTGTGCTAAAGAATGTTCTGGTGAGGAAAATGAATGATTTATTTTTAATTAACTGTGTTCAAAATATGTAATGTTAAGATATCAGTTCTGGAACTGATTCAGGACTGTGTTCTAACTACCCCACTTTACACTGAAATCTGTGCAATTCTATTGACAAAAAATGTCTTAGTGTTGGACTTAGGAAAAAGACAGAAAGCATATTTGCAGAATCATCACATGGTTGTTGTCCTTTGAAATAAATGTGAGAGAATATCTGGAGTTCTCTGCTAATATGCAAACTCTGTAACTCCGTTACAGATTGTTAACAGAAGATCTGCCTTATTCTAAGAAATGAGCTCAAGTTGCAAAGTTATGAATCAGATAAAAAAAAAAAATTCCCCAAAGGTCAGGCATTCAAATCCAGACCTGTATCCCAACTTCCCTCAGCTCTTGAAGGTCAACTTTTTTCCCTTGTTGGTTCAATTGCTGTATCTCCTTTCCGAGTCTGGCAGAGGAATTTAAAGGAACTTTGGCTTAGAACTGGGGGCTTATAAATAGATTCCACTGTATCTATTTATATCTTTTCAAAAAAAGTAGTTAATCTGAGATTCTAGTTAGTGGTTTCATTAAATAACTGCTTTCACAAGACACAGAATGGATTAACTTCATTTCTTTTCTGTATAAAAATTAAATTGAATAACTGAACTCTGAAGTGAGATTTATCTGACAGAGAAAAACGTATTACCCTGTACTTCAGGAAAGCTGTATGAAAACAAACTATGGAGCATTACATTGTTGCTCTTGAATGGCAGAGGATGTAGTTTCAATGTAAAAAGTACAGAAGAGAACAAGGCACTTTGTTCTTTCTTATTTTTACTGGATAATCCAAATATGGTTTTCAGGGAAGCCTTAAATAGAGATCCTGGTGACTCAGAAATTTCTTGGATGCTAGCATGTACACAGTTACCTTCAATTGTTGTTTTCACAGATTTTTGTACTGATAGCTGACATGTGAAATCTTGCAGTTACTACCCAGATGGTAGATGCCTGTATCTGGTGTTATTTCTGGGTGAACTGTCCACTTAAAAGCAATCTGGTGGCTCCTTTTGGCAGGAGGTTTTGTATGTACTAATTCGAGTGTTTAAAGAGAGCTTAGTGCTATAGGACTGAACAATTTTATTCCAAGAATTTATTATCAGTAATGACTGCGCAAACACTTACTAATGAAGCAGAAAACACATGCTTTCTAAGACCGCCCAGCTTTTTTCCAAGATAGCTCTCACCATCATGGCCAACTTAGGCAGAGGCAACCTTATCTGGTTTTACATTATCTAGTATCTAAGCATACAACAGGCAACAATGAGTACCTTCTCTGCTACGTGCAACAGCAGTTCATTATTCCCATCAGTTTGGCAGTTGATGGGAATACAGTCCCACTTACATTTCTGAAACCTGAGGGAGTGGAATAACATGCTGGACAAACCTGTCTATACAGTAGCACTCCGTCTCTGATTCTTAATTCCTTTTTAGTGTGGTCTGTTTTGAATTTTCCCCTGAGATGGGGTCAGATCTGGACCTGAACATCCCCAAACGGTTCGGTTTGATAGTTTATCTATACAGAAGAGATGTTCAGTGTAGCACCGTAAAATTTTGTTTCTGACGTCCTTCAGTTTTCATATGCTTTACTTTCATTTTCTCCTAATTCCTTTCTTCACGCTTCTCTGAATCACAGCGTATTTTTAGGCGTCTGTAGTTTATTATTTATGAGATACTGGCGGATGAGATGCTTGGAAACTAAGGTTCATGCAGAATTTTCATTCAGATTCTTTTTACAAATGGGATTCTAATACTGTATGGTAGAATAGTAATAAAACAGTACTACTGTATATGAAGTAATTGATGCTATTATTTTTGTGTGTGAAATCCTTACTTACTTAGCACTGCACAAAATAGCTCCTTTATTTCATCCTGAGGTTTTGTTCCTACTGGGATAACCTTATTCCTTTTCTAGCCTTAGCATTAGTCATTGAATTAGAACAGGAACTGTGCTAGGCAGGAGAAAAAGGAAAAATCTGCAGTTGAATTAGTCCCAGAGCTCTCCTCATGTGAGGAAAAAGGCAAAATTTCACTTCATTGCTCATGTAGTAAAAAGGAGACAAATCTTGTCTGCAGATGTTTTTAAGTATTCAGGGCCACACCTGGTACAAGAGTTACACTGTGCATGGCTGTGAATCTCTAGCTAAAAGAAAAAAAAAGCAATTCATTGGAGAAAAGGAGCAGCCTGTGTTTTGGGAAATGGTATATAGCTGTATCCACGTTTCACAGATGCGCTAGCATTCTAGTGGATTTGAAGAATAATGTGTTACAGGTATAGAAGAATACAGATAGCTGATGCCTCTTCTCTAAGCAAGATTAGCAGTGTTAGAAGTCCCACATCGGGATCCTTTTGTGTGTATTTTGTGTGATCCATTAAATTAAGGAGGAGGAAGAATAGCTAGGTTATTGATGTAACTGTAATATCAGCTACATGAGAGGAACGCTTTTGTTGATGATCATAAACAGTAATGAATCCCCAGGAATTTCTTCATGTTGCAGTCATTGTTGCAGTTCCCCATTGTTCACACATTAAAAATGAATCAGTAGGCTGTGAGGCTTATTTTAAAAGGCTATTAATGGTCACTTGATGTTAAGAGAATTTTTGCAGAACTAGATGTTCTCAAGGAGATGTGTGTTTAGACTAAGGGGACTGGAAATCAGAACTGTTGACCTCTGTTCCCAGCTCTTCTGCTAACTTAATGTGTGGCCTTGTGTGAGACTTAACCTCTGTGTTTCAGCCTCAGATTCTTTAGAATTAGCATAAAAAAGGTCTGCCTTGGGCTATTTGGGAATGAGAGTGTATTCTGAGACTGGAATGAAAAACTCTGCTAAGATGCAAAGTGATCTTATTGATAAAGACACCAAGTATGTTAGCGACTTTGTGATTGGAACAAATTCCCCCCAGGAACTCAGTTAAGCTCACCTGTTGATTGTCTACAGCATATAAAACTGCAGTAGTCACATAGTCATGCTGGTGATGGTGGTCACTGGGCTATATGAAAGCTTTGGAGAGCTGTTGCTGCTGACTCATTGAAATATATAGCTGAGGGGGAAGTATAGTATTCTGTCTTGATTGTCTGTTGCTGTTTTGAGAAAAAACATTTGTGTGTAAGTTTAAAAAGTGTCTTACTGTATTTTGTTTCATTTAGGGTGATCACCCTAAATGTTACGTTACAAATACCAGCACTGGAGTCCCTCTGGGCTGTTTGTGAGCTTGAATGCAGGGGCCTCTGTATGGTGTAATGCTGTATAACACTGAAGTTGCCTTTACATAGCACTATGCAAAACAGTTCTGTGATACTGCCTTATATGAAGAAGCCAAATCAGCATAGCCTTAGGCAGCTGAAGAAGACTAGTTATACAGCTTCTAGTTATATATATACTAGTTATATAGCGTATACTAGCTATACAGCTTCTGGATCTGGATTAGCTCATCTGATGTTAAATCAGGGTGAGTGTAGGTCACACATAGGAGACACAAGTCCAAAGTACCATGTTTGGTTATTATGGGAATAGTGTTTGTCAGCCTCTGTAGCTTGGAAAGACAAGATACCAAGATACTACGATTAGGAATGTAAAACCTTATCTTGGACTAGCGTAGGTTTAAAAAAAAAAAAAAAAGTATGTATTTAAAACAACTATTTAAGACATAAAATAAATGCAGCTAAACTTCTAGGCTAAATTCAAAACTGTTATCTCTGAATGCAATTAAAGGAGGAAATCTAGTTTTGACCCAGAGATTTTATTTCTCTGAGCAGGCATTTAAGACAGCAAGATGTGTAGATATAGATGCTAGACTGAAAATGTCTGCAGTGTAGCCTGCGAAGTGGCAATACCATATGTAATCTATTATAAGATGAATGGCATGCTGAGAAATGATTCAAGCTGGCTAATTTACAGAGTACTAATTCTCCAGCAATGTCCTGGACATACCAACTGAAATAGCAAGTCACCTCTTAAAGCACCATAGATCTGTGTGTGTGTGTGTGTGTGTGTGTGTGTTTGTGTATGTTTTTAATTTTCATTTAACAATAGCAGTAACAACTGAGGTTGGAGACATTTCCTGGGAATTAATGACCAGATGGGATTCAGAGTCTGAAGCTCAGCCAGGTGCCATCAACTTGCACCAACCGGTCATTAACCCCCAGGAAATGCTTTGCACTTCACTTATCTGTCTCTCTGGCTAAGATTTCAGCTCTCTCTTAAGATCTTGTTAATTAGTAATTTTCCATATGAAGCAATGGCTTGAAATCAAACACATAGTATTTCCCCCCTATGTCTTAAAGGGTTAATGAGCTTCCAATTATATATGTTTTGTGAAGCTAAGTGGCTGTGCTAACTCTAAAAAAAGTTTGGCCACACACTGAGGTTTTCAGGAGCGTTTTTGCAACATCAGGCAGTCAGCTTATTAGGAGTTCAGCTGGTTTTCATGATGGATGTCTCATCTACCTCCTTTCAAAGCTTATTCTTCCCGCATTTGTAGAATTTCAGTGCAAAAACTGTCTACTGTTACATTGAATGCATTTGGAGGAACTGTATTTTTAGTTGCCTGTTTTAGTATTCAGACAGTAACCTTTTCTGTGCAATACTGGATTAATAGGGTTAACCCACTGTGGAATGGGTTAATAAGGAAAGGCACAGGAAATGTTAGAGGAAGGTGCATCCGGGGAGTGTATTTGCCCATCCCTTTCAGGAAGTGACAATCTGGTTCTCTGTCATGTCAGTCAGCTTAAATCCACTTGATGCGGCCAGTTTCCTCCAATTCATGGTTGTGTAAGTAGAGTGATAGGCGTTTCTTTTCTAAGTTTCAAAGTCCCCTTCTAGGAAAAAAAATGCTATAATTCCACCATTTCCTGCAATTGTTCTACCTTAAGCTGAAGAAGATACGTGTGTAGTTGGGAAAAGGCAGGTCCTAGAACTCTTAATTGCCTTTGTTACCTGTTTTGTTGCCAGAGGGAGGGGGTTATGATAAGCTGTGACATCTCCATTGATAATGGAATTTTACAGAAGCATGTTAAAGCGGACAGCCAACTGGGGGACAAGAATTTGAATCTCTCTCTCCATTCATAGAAGTGGAGAAAGTAGAATCTTACTGACATTTTCCTTCAAGCCCATTCCGTAACTTTTACTTTGAAGGCAACATGGTAAGATTTAAATTTACTCTAGCTGTAAACTTGTCAAGATGGATATCTGACCCCAGCTATTCCTCGTGCTAATTCTGCTTAGCAGTTTGAAAACACTGCTGAACTGTTACGCAGCTGTTAGCCTGTGTGTGTCCAAAATATACTGTAGGAGAAATATATCCTGTCCTATTTTATAGGAGAAAACTCCACCCAAAACCTTTTACTTGCATACCATTCGAAAATAACAATTTAACCTTGTTTTAACAACAGTTTAAATATTTACTATTCATATTTGATGAAGCAAGTAAAGTACAATTCTGTTTTACTACAAAGGATGTATCTCTAGGTAACTATAACTAAACTGCTAGCATAAAGTATGGTTTGGAATTGGTGTAGGTGACTTTAGAACTTAGAGTTATTTAATAGTGTAAATTTAATGCAAAGAAACCATCCTAAATTCTGGAGCCAAGTGAAAATTTAGTTCAGAGTTGATAATTAGAATTTTTCCAAAAATAAAAGAGCTAGAGTTAGAAGCAAACAGAAAATTCTACCCTCCTATCTGTGTGGACAAAAAAAAATCAGAATCACCCCAAAGTTTCAGAGGTGAGAGGCCTTTCCAAGCCAGACGTCTAAAATGTCTCAGGCTTCAGAAGCCTGGTTTGGTAAACATTGAGAAATTCTGGTTTTTGCTCAAAATTTAAATCAATGTTAAGTCTACATAAGAAAATAGCACAGGATTCTTAATGCAAGGTTGATATACTCCTCATTGGCTTCTTAGCTCTGATTACGTACAATAATTTTCAAGTGGTTGAATGCTATTATCCTTTGGAAATGGTTTAAACTAAACCACTATATTATCCATTTACTCTCAGTAAGTATCCTCGTGGGAAGCTAGTACAGATGAGCATTTAGGCTTTATATTGCTATTTCAGCTTGTTTTGCAATAATTTCCTTGAGTAGACAAGCCTTATATGAGGTTGTTTTGATGTGCTAGAATCAAGGTACAGATCTTGGTACGTTTTGCAAACTCTCAAGACCCTGAAGTTGTTGTTGTTCTATGCAGCGTCTTTGAAATGTGATGAGATCAGCTCTTATCCACAGTGGCTGTATTCCAGGTTTCGGCTGTTAGATCTCAGTTGAAATTAGGGAGGGTAGGGAAATGTAGCTAGAGCTGCCATGTCCAAAATAAGTAAAATAAAATCTAATTCTAGCTCTTTCTAAGAATTTGGGTATCCTTACTGTAACAATAATAATAACTATACCCAAGCTGGTTTGTTTAGTTGCATTTCTTATTTATAGTTAATTTATATTTTCAATTTTCCCTTTATAAAGCTTAGAGGTAAAGAGGAAGAATTACTCTGGGAGATATTTGGCATTTTCCTCAATTTTCCTTTAGAAAGCATAACACTTGGTGTACTTCACCTCATCAGTTTATTCTTATTTAACAATTAGCAGGCTACTAATTTAGAGGATATTTGTTTTATATTTCAAAATTGTGATTTGTCTGGGGAAAATTAATTTGTAACAGAAGAATATGAAGGGAAAATGTTCTCTGTTCTTATCTAGATCAGCCAGTAGGGAGCAGTGTCTTTCTTGGCTTTAATTTTCATATTATTAGTGTTTTCTGGCTGCATTGTAGCTCACTTTGTCAGACAGTTTGTGACCTCTTGGGAACAGACGTCCTCATAAACAAATTGCCATCGCAAAAAGCGGATTCCATATTGGCACATCAGCAGAACAGATGGAGGTTCAAAACAAAACAATTTTTTGAAACGTTGGCATGGCACTTCTTTTTATTCATAAGATTACTCCCTACCTTGCTATCAAGAAAAAGTGATAATTTCATTAAGTTAGCTATAAAGTCTGTAGTTAGGTAAAATTCAGCATGTAGCTAACCTCGTCTAAAGAGTAATCCCTTGATTAAACTAGTCACTCATGGATGTAAATGCTGTGATGAATTAAAAGATGCTGCTGTCAGTTTCTGCGAAATCTGAGGCAGGTTTCCCTCTTTATAGATTTAATCCCAGTAGAAATAAGAGAGTGGGGATAAGAAATTAATTTGGAAGCAGCGTTTCCCAACAAAAAAAGTGTTCATGTTTTGTCTTGAGTTTAGTTTTGTCTTTCTTTTTCTCTGACCGGGTTCATTCCTGGTTAATGTTAACAGAATGACAACCTGAAATTATGTGTTCTCTCCCAAAGAGTTTATTTTAACTAGTTAGTGTAATAAGTAAAATTACTATAAAAGAACTAAATGTAATAATGAAAGAAACCTAAAAATCCTCATTCCCTCTTGGCTTACTTTTTGCCTTTGATATCACTTTTATATGTGGTGCCTTGTCTTCTTCTGTGGTAGGTAATTTTAGCTATTTCATCTTGCCAGTTTGGAAGATCTTTCTCATAGCAGCACATTAATGGGAGGCATTTTTATTTTTGCAAAAAAGTATACAGTAAAAGTGGTTGGTGCCAGTACAGTGACTGAATCATCTTTAATTCTGGAAACTAACTACATTTCTAGAGAGAAATGTTTGGGTTTGATGTATTCTAGGTTATATTTAATAGTTTAGGATTCTTACTGATTGCAGTATAGTATTTTATTTGCAGTTATATATTAGGCCTTACTGGTCAGCATGGAAGGGATTCCTCCTTATCTTCTGAGACCTGAAGGTACTTCATTTAGTACTTACACATTTATTTGATTCTTTCTTTCTTTCTAGGTATTCTCCTCTTTGCTTCTTTCCTCTGCTAGTACTCACCTCTCTTTACTGACTGCTAACTTTCCTTTACTCATCTTAGTTCTCACATCCCTTTTCTTTGTCTATCATCTCTTTTTTGTATTCCTGTTTTCCTTTGCTTGTCGTTTTTTTTTGCCTGCCACTTTTTCTCCACCTCTCCAATCAATGCTACACCTCCTGTTCCCTTATCTTCACAGCAAGGGTCTTTCCAGCGTGCTTTTCTGCGCCCACCTGTATGCGTTCCTGCCTTATTACAAGCAATAACTGCTATACTGAGTGAGATCACTCCGCCCACACAGGAGCAGACAGAGAGGAGCCCGTCAGGAATTAATACTATTTCATGCCGCATTAAGTCCTGGTAACATACTCTCTTGAATATCCACTTGATCAGCTGCAATCCAGAACAATTGGTGCATGGATCAACCCGCCCCCCAGTTCCAGAATAAATTCTGAAGCAGGACCCTGATGAACTCTTCCTGATGAATTTAAGCTGGTTCCCAGGGAGGTGGGGAAAATTTCATGAAGCTATGCCTTCCTCACTTGGATACCTTTTCTAAAAGAGTCATTGCATAAAAGCAAGAAAGACCATGATGTCAAAGCACTAGAGCAGAATTATTAACTTGTTTGCCTTAGTTTGGAACCCCTTGGTCATGGGCACAGAGCTTTACTTCTACTTAATGGAGTCTTAAGAAAACAGTACCTTGAGTTGCTTAAAACTGCTGTAGGCCTGGCTGTGAGCCAACTCTATAATTACCTTCCTGTCTGTTGATTGTTCATCTGCCTTGTAATAGCAAAACAGATCCTCTATTTTGGACTCAACACTGCTAGTTAGATCATGACCTTGCTACTGAAATACTTTCTTCTCCTGTTTCAAAACCAAAAAATCCTTAGAAGTATGGGTTAATAAAGGCAGCACTTTTTTGCACATTAATTAGGCTTCAAACGTCAAAATATAGAACAAAATTTTCATGTTAATAATGTCCAAACCTGCTGTTTTATGTTTTCATTCAAATAAAAGCCAAGTTTATGCCCTGTGATTTGCAGGAATACATATTCTTCCACAGTTTGTCAGCAGAGTTAAATCTTGAAATATTTAGGTATGATGTTTTTTCTGCTTGTTCTAATTTGGTAATATTGTAACTGTAGTTTTCATGGCACCAAATAACTGACCTCTGCCATTTGAACTAAAATATACTTTCCTTAATTGGCACCATACTTGACAATTGCATTGTGCCTAACTTCTACGTAACTTGGTAGCTCCACAGGTTTAGCTGCAGATAGAATTAATCCCAAAGCTGTTTCCGAGTGTCTTGGGGAAAAGGGGCATTTGTAGTATATTAACTAGGAATCTGGAGCTTACTTAGTAATACGATTAGAAAGGTGGATGATGAAAGAATTGGAGTAACCCTGAAGGAGCGTCTGTGGAGGTAGTTAACTACATCAAGAGGTTCTTATCAGGGTGAGATATGATAGAAGGAGAAGTTTGCAAATGATGGTGAGAGGTGAGCCAAGAGAGCTGTTGGCGTGGAGAATATTGGAGGATTTGAACAAAAGGTTATGTGTAGGATGAAATGGGTATGTTTTTTCGATGACACAGAGCAGAAGTGGGCCTCTGTGTAACCTGAGTGGGAGAATGTTGTGAAATGATGATAGCAGAAGAATAAGGGAAGAAGTAGATTAGAAAGGAATAACTGTAGAGAGATGGCTGTAAGGTCCCAGCATGAACAACTCTGCTCAGAGATTACACTCCCTTTTCTGTTAGTCTCTTTCCACTTTCTGGATTTTCTCAGAAATAGTTATTAATGATTAATACATCTTTGAGAAGCTGCTTACAGAGAAGGAATAGTATGTCTCTACTGTTACACTGGTGATCAGTAGACTTGTAGACAGTAGACTGGAAAAACCTGAACTTCAGGCC